GAACTTAAAATACTCTTGGCATTTTTTACATTTGCAGGCGTCTTGGTTGTTACTTAATTTCATGTTACTTGATATCAACTATTGTCTGAAGATTGTGCAAAGTACTTAATGTTGGTGCTTGAAAATGATTTTAAAAATGATCTATAAAAAGACTTTTCTTGCTGAAACTGTTTCCTTTCAAATGTTTTTAATAGGTGATGCTACATCATAAATGAAGGAAAACAGACTGCTACTTGCATGCAGATAAAAAGAGTTTGAGAAGAAATATAGGACTGAAACTGCTCATTGTTTCTTCCACAATATGGTATTAATTCAGGCCTGACTGAAGAGAAATAAATCACTAAATTCACAGAGAAGGGAAGAAAAAACACTATTATTAAACTATTATCTTTCTGGACTAAAATCCTCACCTTTTTTTTTTCTTTTTGCAAAATTTCAGTAATTGTATCCTTTTCTGTGATATCTACCACACTTCTATAGGGGATTTTAAACATGATTTCTTACTTCCTCTAAAATGTTAATGACATGATCAGTCATAGCTTCCTTGCAATCATAGTGATTTTCCAAGCGTAGCTTAGATGTGGCAGAAAGTCAAAATTATGGGGCACCCAGTGAGTATCGAACTGACTACTCAGTCGTAAGAGATTCTGAGAATTAATTGTATCTAGTCTAGTGCTCAATACCAGGCTATATTGTTCTCGTGAGACAAGTTTGTTAAGCATTACACTGCCTTGGAGTGTCCCTTCCTTGCCAGCATAGCTAGTTAAGATCATATAGACATGTATATGTGTGACTGAAATAATTTCTTTGTTAATTCGCAGGTATATATTCTTTTTGGATTGCTCTTCTTTTGGTGTTTTAAAAATATCTATCTTTTTATTGGTTCGTTATTAAAATCAATTAGTCAATGTTTTAGTAAAGCTCATGCTAAGATGCTTGTATCAGACGATGATATGTTAAATATACAAATTGCTTATCCTCAATGTACAAGAGAAAAATATCTCCACATATATGAATAGACGTGCCTGCAATAAGACATAGCGTTAAAAGGATGGTTTTTTTCCCATGACACCACATTTTTAACTATGCTTCAGCGATATTTATTGCTTCAAAAAGTATGACAATTTAAGCCACAAAAAATATCAATACATGAAGAACACGGAACACAAATTGAAAGTTAAAAGGAATATTATTGAAATTCATATATACAAATACTAAAAAAATAATAGTTCTTGTTGCAAACAAATTGTTCTGTTTGTGGCTATATTATAATGAAACAATGTAAGTCCACTTTACTGAAGTCCTTGGTTTTGCAGAATGGTTTCATTTATGTACTAATATAGTACGGCTCTCATGTCAAAACTGAAGGTAGAATCAGAGATGACTTTAACATCTTGTGCCTTGCAGTTCTTGGCAGAAAAGAGATGAAGAAACAGCAGAGAATAGTGTTCTTTATAATTGGCGCCAACATATTCTGGCTAGTGATTGGTTGTTTTGACACTATACATGATCACTAGAGAGTGCATTTGACCAAGGGCAATAACTCACTTACATAACATATATATTTTTCTTATAAAAATGATGATTAAAATTGGAATAAAGCCTAAACATTGTTTTTTGTTCTTCAGAATTTACAACAAAAATATTAAACACTAATTTACTTAATAGAATGTTTATTTACAAGAATAATTTTATATTTGCAAAATACTAAAATCTAATATAATTAAAACTAATGCAATACAATATTTATCATTTACCATTTTATAAATAAATAAATATGAAAACAATTTTTTTTATTCACAAAATTTTAGAAATTTACTAAATTATTAAAATATGTGGCTAACTATAAAGGAATTCTTATTTACCATTTTATGAAGTTTGAATCAATTCACAATGAGCCAGTGTTTTGCCAACCATACCCATAAATATAATAAATAAAAAGCATAAATAAACAAACTAAAAAATAAATAGTTGTTGTAATCGAGGGAAGGTTACTGAATAGAATAATCAAATGAAGGTTGGTAATCTCTATCTATAAATGGCAGGATGTGTGTGTGATGCACGGCCACAATTTTCGACGGATTTGCACCAAAATTTACATGCACATGCTCCAAGTTAGCGGGAAAGCCAAGACTTGCATTTCCCAACTCACATCGATAGTGGAAATAATTGATTTTTTCATGCTTCTACGGCAATTTTCATGTAGTTTGCGGCCATTTTCTACTGGCCAGAGTGAGAGCCTATAGCTGGCTGACATGAATAGGCAGGAAGATTCTATTGGCCAGTGTGAGAGCCAACAGCTGACTGACATGAATGTTAACTAGCATGATACCGTGCAAAAAAAAAATCGATAGCTGCATTCGTCACAAGTGGGAAAAATTTAAATCTGCATGGCACTTTACTCCAATTGGCTCATTTGCTTGCTTAAACTCAACATTGATTCTGATTCCGCAGAACTGGGTTGATAGTGAAAAAATATTTGTTGCTAACATTTTTTTTCATTCATTTTTTCCAGTTACGAATCCTTTTTTAAAGCTGATCGTTTTGTGTTCATTTTGTTTAGTTCTTTTTTCGTAACAAATTTAATGTTTAGTATAGAGCTTTGAAAAAATTCGCAGTATGAGATAGGCAAGAAGTAAGGCATGTAGCAACATCAGCATGGCAAAGAGCACTCCTTTAAAGGCAAGGAAGGGCAAAAATATTTTAAGTCAAGTGATAGCGATTGCTGTATGAGTCGTACAATTTTTGAATCAAGCATGAGCAACTCCGGGCCATGCTGCTAGTGAACGATAATACTTAGGACACAAAAAACACATATAATATTCCCCAGTGGCACGTAAAACTAGTAGTCAACTGCTAGAAGTGAGTCAAGTGAATTCCACAATGAATCTCCAACTGCAGATCAACATACAGTATTTATCTTTTTCTTTGGAATTTATCAGTTCAATCATGGAGTCAAGCAGTGCTTGATTACATTAATTTAATGGAGAATGCAAAATGCTGCAATAATAAAAAGTTGAAAATTACAAATTCATAAATTGTTCAGTAGAAATGCCCCCAAAAAGAAAGAATAAGAAAGTATAGACTACCAAAAATGTACTTTTCAAAATACCTAACAGTTGCCTAGTGTAAAGACACACAAGGAAGGTGTAAGGGTAGAGTGGCTGAATGAGTGAAATATAAAACAACCAAGATGAGGATGCTAGTCAAAAACAGTTAATGCTGGGAAATCTCCTCACAGACAAAGAGAAGACTTGAGAGAAAAAAATGGGGATTCTGAGAATGCAATAGACATGTAAACAAAGAGGAACTTTTAATGAAAATGGGAATGAAAAGGTCACATGCTTAGGATCAGGAAATGTCTTGAAGACATAATGAGGAAAGAAGGCTTAAAAAATTTGACACTCACACGAGTAACCTATTGTGTAAATGGATGGCAAAACAGGAATTAGAGGGATAATAAGGAGACAAACATTGCTAAGAAGAGCTACAAATGATAGGAAGTTGAGGAGAGCCATGATCACTCCCATCCTGAACAGTCACAGGACATAGAAGAAGACTGTAATATAATTCTACTCAGCACCTATATTTTAAAAATCTTCACTATCTTTGCCTAATTATAGGTAACATCCTTCTTTTTCTATAGATAAAGGGAAAAAAGAAAAATAGAATATGTAACTTCACAAGTAGTGAATTTTAAAAAATCACCATTTACAAAGAGATTTGTTGGGCAGGCCTTCTTTGCAAAAATGAAATAATTCCTCTTTTGATAATCTGTTGTCGTTCTTCATTATTTTTGTCTGAACACCATCATAAATATGTTAATGGCTGCGGCTGGGTTTTGACAACTGATAAATGACCTGGCTAACCTCAGGATTTTAGAGTGGAATAAGGTGGTGTCAATCTCCTTATCCTCTCAATATTTGTTCTTTCTTGCTACTGCTCCTGTCAGGAGACAGATAGAGTGTCTCTACATATGTCAAATACATTGTATATACTCCAGTATGAAGATGTGTATGTTGTGACCTTTGTAATAAACTGGCCATTACATTGCCAAATATTATTGATTCAAATATAGATAGAGTGAGTTTTAATCCATGAGTGGGTATATAGGACTAGAGCAAAATTTTGTTTCACAAACAACTATTTGTGTACTTGTAAAATCTTCAATTCTTATTGATGTAGGTATTTTTTTTTAATTTAAGTCTTTTCTGAACACTGACAATCATGGCTCTCCACAGATTCCTTTTCTTTATCATCCTCACTTTTGCAAAGCCAGATTGGACTTAAAATGGAGTACTGCTACCATATATGGGCAGGAGCAAACTTGTCTTAATCAAGAGGGTTGCAGTCTGAGAAGTTAGGTAGCCGGATGTAAGGGGTGATGTGGCTGCAGAAATTGTCACCCTTTATATTTTTGTGTAATTTAGACAACAATTTATCTATCGCACACTGTATATACCCATCTATAGCAAAATACCTACCTAAAGAGGTAAGTGTTATAGATTATAGACCTAAAGAGGTAAGTGTTATACATCATCCAAGAACTTTATCATCTTGAAGCTACTAGCTTGATGCTGAATGGAAGAGTAGACATAGACACATTGTTTTTTCTGGGGGTTTTATAATTGCATAATCATAATAAAATTGGATAAATTTGTTCATGCGCAAAACAATTGTTTCTTTTCTCAATTCTACAAAAAGCATATTACCATAAAAATAGACCCAAAAGAAATTTGGTAAACTCTTGAATAATTTAATAAAAGAGGTGACCTCAAAAATATGAATATATAATAGATCTATTCTGTGAGTAATATTTGTATTAATTTCTAATCACTGATAATCTTGAAATGCATGGCTGATCAGGTATGGAAAGAAAATTTAGTTAACGAGTGGAATAATGTGAAAATACTAGACAGAGATGAATACTGGCGTCAGATGTCTGAAGGAATCAGCACATATACGGGGCTATAAGGGTTTCCTCTATAGGCCTAGGCTTATGGCTACATCATGTTTAAACACTGGTTACTGTATGATCACTGGAATTAAGCAACATTGAGCACAGCCAGTACCTAGATGGGTGACCACTTGGGAATACCAGGTGTTGTAAACTTGGATATGTGGGTGGTGTAATGGATAATGGCTCAGAATTCTTAATTGGAGAGTCAAGTTCCAATTGGGTTCATTATATTCACTAAAAGGTAACATGCTTAGGATCAGGAAATGTCTTGAAGACATAATGAGGAAAGAAGGCTTAAAAAATTTGACACTCACACGAGTAACCTATTGTGTAAATGGATGGCAAAACAGGAATTAGAGGGATAATAAGGAGACAAACATTGCTAAGAAGAGCTACAAATGATAGGAAGTTGAGGAGAGCCATGATCACTCCCATCCTGAACAGTCACAGGACATGGAAGAATTCTACTCAGCACCTATATTTTAGTAAATCTTCACTATCATTGCCTAACTATAGCTAACATCCTTCTTTTTCTATAGATAAACAGAAAAAAGAAAAATAGAATATGTAACTTCACAAGTATTACAAATACCCTTGGCAAAGATATAAATCTACATCTTCTCCCCACAAATATAGGTTAATTAGTAACATTTGTATTATTAAATCATTATTATCTAAAAAATTCATACAATCTAAAAATATTTTCTGGCTTTAAATAACCTGCAATGGGTTGATGAGTTGTAGAAAAAGAATTAATAAATCAATCTGTAGGCCTAGTAGAGAAATAAATATCAAATGAGAGCCATTAATAAATAAAGAAAGAGATGTGATGGTAAAGCATTATCAGCAGGAGTAAGGAAAGAGAATCGGTGATAAAAGCAGTAAAACATTACAGAATTCAGTAATTAAATCATCAAATACTACTTGCTTTATTGTAGTGATTTCTTTTACTTATAGCACTGTGAATGTGTTTCACCTTTTTGTACCAAAACCAGCACTTACTAAGCATAGGCAATTACAAGTTCTTCTGTCATCGGAAGGGTCTTCTTTCAGGGCTCCAGGCACAACTTTGAAGTTAATATTTTGTATAAGATTTCTTGCAGAACACAGATAAGAATTAAATGAACAACATTTTGAAGTCGTTATATATATTCAATATATGTTCATATGTTAAATGTACTATGAAAATTTTATCATTTGCTTGCTTTGTGTATGTGTCTCTAATATTTCCTGTGTTCCAATATATGTAAACATTATAAAGGATAAAAAATTTCAAAAAAATTCAATTATTAATATTATAACCACCTAATTTATTACAGAAATACAAAGCCCGAGAGCCACTCAAGGTAATGAATGATGTTGCTGAAAGTATATAATAGTTGACCTGTGATTTGAAGAGGTTAAGATTGTTGTGATCTGGGAAGTATCCTCTTGGGAGCCTATTCCAAAAAGTAGTTGTTCTTGGAAAGAAATCATCCAAACAGAATTTTCTTTTTACCAATGGAATAAAAAGGGAATGAGGATAATACTCCCCTGTGCATATGGCATGGTTGTTCTGAACTGTAAAGGCTTGAACTAAAGAATGCAGTTTATCAGAACATGTGCCATGGAAATAGAGATACAGTAACAAGAGGATTGTCATATTTCATATTTGGGAAGGAGGTTGCAGAACGAAAAATAACTCATTACCATCAAGTCCATGCAGACATTTTTTTTTAAGTCTGGAAAGTGAGGATTGAGTTGCTACTGCCCAGAGTTGGCAGTAATACATTGATTTTTAACTTAATCTGACTCTTGTTAAGACAGAGCATGAAAAGAGGTGCAAGATACTTTCTGGAACAGTGCAAGGAACCATCCATTTTTCCAGCTTCTTTAACAATGGATCATATAAATGTTATTGCCTATATAAGCTTTTAAAAAGTGCTACATCATTATATACAAGGAATTATTCAAAAGTAATGCTGTTTATTTATTTCATTGGAAACCACAACAGATACAGGGAGCACAGTGGAATGGGCAAAGGTTTCAGCTTCAAAACAGCAACGCCTTTTCACCAGCAATGAACAAGAGCTTCAATGACATTATAGTAAATATAGCTAGTTACATAATCACACTCACCATTGATTAAAGACATTACCCACTAACTATGCTTACAAACACTTTTTAAATCTCTATAAATGTTCAGCAATTGTTAATAAATGTCAGTGTTTTCCCTACAGGAAGAAATCCAGTAACATGCCTCTTATTTATACACCTTTTCATGTCAGATGCAGCTTTGCCAGACTGCTTATCAGCTGATAACTGTAACAAGGCAAAAAATAGTCAGGCGGTTTCAGCTTCTACACTGTCACACCACCAATATCCATCACTGACAGTATTGGTAATATAACAAAATGAGAAGCATTGCTTTTGGAGCAACCTGTCTATGTATTGATTCATTCTAATCAATGTTTTAATATTTCTAATTTAAAAAACCAAACATGCTGCTGTGAGTTATCAATAGTATGAGTGATATCAAAGACTGTAAAACTAACTCATTGCATCACACGTTATAAATATCTTGAGGGACCAATTTTTCGTTTCAAATTTTTATTAATTTCATTTCAGGTTTTAGAGAATTAGGTTTTGTTTTTTTTACGTTTTCATTATAGAATTCAGTTTTTGCTTCATTATAATACTTAGTGAAAAAATGTAACAATATATAAATGTTATTAAAACAAGAAAATTAAAGGGAAATGAAAAAATTTTTCTAACTGGAATATCCACCCATTTGATAAGTTGCTCCAGCTTGACAGGGTTTTTATCTCATACTTCAGCCCCTTATCTAACATGATGAGTTTCTGGGACAATCCTTGCAAAGAATTCTACAAACTTAAATAAGAATTAAGTTAAAGTAGTAAAACCTACAGAAAAGTAGCACCACAAAATCATCTAGAGACAAAAATCTACATTATTGTTCAGTCACTTTATTGAAATTATTAAATAACATTTTTGAAAAAAGTCTAATTCATAAAATTTGGATTACTAGCAGCCTCCCACCTCCGTCACTATGTGTGATAGGAAAAAGAAGGTCAAAAACAAAAAGACAAAATTTTGTTGCTCCCCTGCTTACTCCCACTACTTTTTTTTTTTTTTTTTTTTTTTTTTAAATCAAGCCAATTCATAAAACTTGGTTCCTAAATACTATTAACTGTAGGGAGACAGTAGGTAAGCGGGTGGATATATTAAAACATTATCAACATTATCTCTTGATGTCTGTCTGATTGATTGTAAGAAAAAAATATCCATTTCAAAATTGCGATTTCCATTTCAAGTAGGCCATTTCATTTTTCCGGTCATTTTTCCATTTTCATGGAAAATAAGCCCCTCTAAATATCTAGTATAAAACAATTGGAAGTGCAGGTAGTGTAACTGGGAAAGTTATTGATGAAATGGAATAACCTGTCACCCCTATGAGTGACTACACTATAAGTAGTAACTACCTATAAGTATCTCTAAGTCAACGGACTACAGAGACTAGGTGCGACCTGTTCCAGCTAAACAGTCGAACTCTCTGCCTGAAGGCAGAGAGGAACCTGGACGAGGCTCCGCCAAAGGGCAGAGTCTCATTCGGGGAGGTAGACTGCCCCTGAACCCATTTATATGGGTTTGAAAGGGAATATTTTTGGCCGAGCCTACGGGCTCAGACAACCCACGCTAAACCAGCCTTGTGCCATATGCAACCCTTGTGGGGGTGTGGTAGCTAAATATACTAGCTGGGATCTGTGGCTAGCCAAAATCTTTTTTCGCTAAACAGTCAAACTCTCTGCCTTTGGGCAGAGAGGAACCTGAAGGGCAGAGTCTCGTTCGATGAGGTAGATTGACCCTGAACCCGTTTATATGAAAGGGGATATTTTTGGCCAAGCTTACAGGCGCAGAGATCCTACGTTAAACCCAGCCTTGTCCCACATGCAACCCTCTTGGGTGGCTGGCTAAATATTCTAGCTGGGATCTGTTGAGTATGACTCAGACTTACACAAGAACTACCGACCTTCCAATAGTAGCACTCACTAATGGATTGACTTGTGACAACCTTGTGCATAACTCTTACCTTTATTTTTATTGTACTGCATTTTTATAATAAACCTTTACTTATTTTATCCACCTTGTTTTTCAAGTATATATTCCTATTAGCATGGAATATAACAGTTATGAATGTGTCTCTTTTCCTCCAAGTTATGAGTTAAATAGCAAGGAAGACTGGAGTCTCTAATCATGGATAGCAACTAGTCTAGAATGACAACCAAGGAAAGGATTATTGAGTTCACAATGGCGCTACAATCTCAATATGTGGTTAACGTGATAGATAGAGAATAAAACAATGATTTATTTAATGAAATAACTATTTCTCAATGATAAAGAATTGAAAAGGCCTATAACGTTTAAGTTAAAGTGTGAATGTAGCGACTTCAGAAAAAAGTCTGCAAACCCTGCATTTGACAATCATTATCCATTGTGAAGTGATTGAAATAACTACAAGAAGACTGCATAGTCAGCACAAAAGCTGTATTATAGTGAAAATTGTTTTATATTGAAAAATGACGGCTTACTTTGGAACTCAGACAAAAGTCGACTTTGGTACATATTTGATGACTATCATCGGACTTTAACATGAACAGAACAATGTGAGCAACAGGACAGTTTTAAAGAAAATAGGAACTACAAGGGAATGTACACTTCCAATCACTTCTGGTACTCATAATGAGGAAAGAGGGACTAGAGAAACTAACACATATCTAATGAAGGCAAGAGAAGCAGTGAGGAACATTGAGTAACATTGGCAAGTTTCAGTGAATAAATGGTAGAACAAGGACAAAGAGGAATGGGAAAGTGGCAACAGTTATTTACAGGAATAAAAAACAGGAAGTCAAGGAGAGCTATGTTCACCTATGTCCTGAAAGGGCATGGTGCATAAAAGAAAAATGTTATATGATTGAACAAGGTACAATAAGGGTATAATGGTTATAGAAAATTAGCCAATTGAATTCCAATTCTATCAGAGGCTATGTTTCTTTGGAAGGCATGAATATAGATCCCCCACACTTTGTGTAGACTGAATAAAGGGTTTAGTTTGAAAATTTCAAGATGGTTACACAGATCAAGAAAAACTT